ATAAGCACCAAATTATGGTTTTGTACGGGTTGAATAAGTCAGTTTTATTTTACTGAGATGAAAAAAATTGACAATGATAGTAAATGGTTTTTTTATTATAAAAAAATAACAACCACAAACTAAAAAAAAATATGAGGAAATATGTAACTAGATAAAATACAGATAAAAAGACTAGACTCGAGCAAACCCAAGTTTGCATGATAAACATCAGGTAATAAAGGCGAGCAAGCTCGGGTTAACCCTCAAAACATATGGTTTTTGTAATGAGATTGAAATAACCTGATAATGACCTATTTAAAACATGACCCGACCTGATAATTTGACCCATAACTTAGTTGATTTGGGTATTCTCCCACAATTGAATTTTTAAAATATTGAGAGACTAAAATGTTATCATTTAAAAAGCAAGGACCAAAGTAGACTTTTCAACCCTTTTTTTGAAACCGCCACCCGATTTCTCTTTGTTTTGACACTTGGGTATCATTTATTTAAATTATAACCCTTATTAATATTTTTTTAAGAATAAACTACACATTAAACAAAATTTATCTATTTTTCAACTGGACACGTTTAATTAGACATGTGACAACCCTTTATATGAAATTTTTCTCATCCGAAGAGATCATATAGTGTACCAAATGGTTATTGTTGTCCAAATTCAAGCTTCATTGTTTCTTACCCTTGACAACAAGTTTTTAACCTTTTTTTAGCCTTTATCTATGAAAAGATAACTCCTTTGTGCTCATCCAATGATACAATGCTAAACTTTCAATCTTTAAACATCATTTTAACCTACTTTAAGTTAGAAAAAAAAAGATATTGATTGCATTCTTTCAATTTCTTGAGAACTAGATAATCTTTAAAGACTTGAGCTTTTATATTATATCTTCTTTTGGGTGATTAGTGAACATTTGAGTTTGTAATAAAAAAATAATTATCTAAGTGTTAAATGACATTTAAAATCACTTAGGATTTAATGAGAGTTTTATATAAAGTTTACGAGTACATGTTAGAATCACGAGTCTTTAAAAAAATTCAGTTATAAAAGATAAAGCCTCACCCATAAAGAAGATTGTAAGTAATAATGGTGTAAATAAAAAAAATATTAAACTAGATTTGAGAGCAGGTATAATTTATCATAACAATAACATTTTAACTAATTTAGATGTTCAGGGAAAATCTAGAGCTCATATGTTTTAAAATTGTAAGCATGTAATATATGTCATAACATACTTGCAAACAATACAAAACATATAAAGATCCTAGTATACATACTATGTATATATCCAATATAGCATAAGATATTGAAATACAATCTTAGCATGCATTTTAATGTATTATATTAAACAAAATAAAAAAAGAGTAGTTATTGAAGCATTTTAAAGTAGATCAGGCTATGTTGTTATCAGTAATAAATTATTTGTTCTTATGATTTCATTATTTCTCACTTAATGCAAAAGATATTTGCAATAAATTTCTTAAGATTCTAACAACGACATCTTGTTTAGATGCACTTCTAAACAAAGTCTATAAATAAAAAATAATGTAACTCAAATAATATTGAACTTAAACTCTAGACTTGGGAGGAAATTAAAGCTTAAAATAGAGAAGAAAACACTCAAAATTAAGGTGAAGAAAAGTATGTAAAATCTAAAAATTCATGCAGAAAACTCTTCTAATATTCTTTTTTTTAATAGTGAATTTTATAACCAAAACTAATAAGAGTTAATTTTGAATAATATTATAATAAATTTCATTTATAATTAGTTTTGATTATTCACCATAAAACCAAAATTAAAACTGACAATTTAGTTTTTAAAGAGTTGCAAAAATTATCTAAAAACTATCTATATTATGAATAATTAGTTATTGAAAAAACTAAAGAAAATGGCCAGATTTAATCTATATATTAGAGAAAGTCATTCTTCATGAACCAAGTTCAAATCCAAAATTAGGTTGACAAAAGATAATATTTTATAGTCCAAAAGTTATTTTACAGTAAACATAGAACCAACTTGAATTCCGAGCATGAGTCCATTCTTCATAAACCAAATTCAAGTCTAAAATTAAGTTGATAAAAAATAATATTTTGTAGTCCAAAAAATTATTATATAGTAAACATAAGCCCAACTTGAATTCCGAGCACAAGTCGAGTTGTGCATACACGCGCATGTTATAAACCAAATCCAAGTCTAAAATTAAGTTGACAAAAAATAATATTTTGTAGTCCAAAAAATTATTATATAGTAAACATAAGCCCAACTTGAATTCCGAGCACAAATCGAGTTGTGCATACACGCGCATGTGATTTAAGCCTCAAGCTTACTATATTTAAGTCCTCCACCCTCTAAAAGCTTGAGTATCTTTTAGGTCCAATGTTAACTTCTCTCATTCTCACTAAATAAACAATTAGGAAAGCTTTTTTTTTTTTATTATTTTTAACATGGGATACAACTTTTAAAAAGTTATAGACTTCTCCAAAACATCTTAATCAATAATTCTCTGAGATTAATTTCTCTTATATTTATAATTTATTTAAATCATATTATTATTTAAATCATATTAATATTTTATATTAGAGAGCTTATATTGTAAATTAAATTCTAATAAAGTTTTAACTTTAAAAGTGAGTGAACTCCAATTTTATTTTGATTTCAAATATACTTAGTGGTATATTTTACATAAATTTTTCTAGCAAGTAGAAACCCAAGCTTCCTCTTTAGAGAATGAAATGAGCACTTAGTTTTAAGCCATTATAAAATTTTATGTGCATCTCTTTTCCTATATATCTTTACTTTTATTTATGTTTGAATTGTGATTGTATGCTTTTATTGAGATTAGCTTAAAAAGGTTGGGCATGGATTAAACTTGTGTTTGATTTAAAAAAACTAAAAATTGAAAAAGTTATTCATAATTTTAAAAAACTCCTAAATTCACCCCTATTATATGTCATATGTTGGATCTGATGAGTTAGTGAAAGCTTTTTAGTTAGTATAAAAGATTTAATGTTTAAATTTTATTCTAAATAATTTGATTTTTTCAAAAAAAACTTTTTTACCTAAAAAAATCTTAACGAAATCGATAAGCTCAACTAGGTTTTTATATGTTAGTTTAGGTTTGACCAAGTTAACATTTAACTGGTCTAATTACAAACACAATCTGAATTAAATTTTAAATCAATAATTTTTTAAATAAATATGTTTGGTTGGACCAAATTTGATAACTATAATTACAATTATCTTCGCACGAGTAACATTAATGATAAGTATCAACTAATAAAGTCCTGCCAAATACCAAATCAAATAAACTAATCTTTCCTTTGAAAGCATTTCTTGAATTCTCTAGAATACCTTTTTCTTCAAAGGTTGGATGGATTATAGAACATGGGAAATGATCCAATAATGCTAGAATACCCATTACCACAAGTAGAATGGGTGGACAATGATAATAAAGCTAGACATTTTAACGAATATGCTTCAGAATTCAAAACCATAATTAAGACAGCACTAGCCCCCTTGCTTGCCACTAAATATGAGTCTAACATGAAACGCGGCTCAGTGAGATCGTAAACCCGAGCATGCCTTTTTCATTAGCGAGAGACAGGAAATGCAGACCGAAGAGATAAGATAGATTGTGTCTAACCTCCCCAGTAACGTAGGCTCAAGGCAAATGGATATGACAGTCAATGGGATTATGATCAAAATCCATCTTCGATCAGAGAGACAACAAAAATCAAATCCTAAGCGTGCAGCAAGGACACGTATAGTTTACATAAACTCATTCTAAAAAAGGGGTTGTTTGCGAGAGCTCCAATCTTTTGTGTTTGGTCCTTGTATATATACTTTCCCATGAAAAGCCAGAACCTCCGATTGTTGCAGCGTGTAAACTTGGCTTCTCCTTTTTCCATGTTAAGAAAAGTGATAATGACCGACTCCACGAGTTTTGATTAATGTGCTTTGTTACAAAGAGACATATGTAATGGACACGTAGAAATGATCACATAATGCTAGTTTTTTTTCACCCTCATCAAACAAAATGATCAAATGTCATCATGAAGACTATAATAAAGAACTTAATAAAGCTGAGGCGATGGGATAGCCAGGTTTAATCCTTCAGTGTTAGTATAAATATGAAGATTATTCTGTGATATTCTTGTTAAATCATCCACTATACACTGTTGAGATAATGAACCACGCATGCTTTTTTCTTCTTTATTTTTAGTAAACCAGCTCTTTGAATCGAGCAATTAAAAGCAGTTTCCAACTGAGCAAGGCTAGATACCAAACCTATTAGCATGAACGAGGGAATCTTAGTAGTATATATTCATTGGCGGTCCTGAACAAAGCCTTTATCGTTCTCTGAATCCAAGAAAAGGTGTCCATGTGCTAGGCCTAGCAGTGTGGGAGACCAAAGAATATGTGCCGTTTACACACTCTCTCTCAGCCCCAGCCATCAAATTTGCTTTCGCTATCAATCTTGGTATGCTTTTGTTTTAGATTGGCCGAAGTAAAGGATAGACCCTAAAGGCAAAAGGGCGTCTAAAAGTCATGATGTCTGTCTATCGCCTTGGCCCCAGATGCACGAAAGCCCTAATCCCCTGATTGTTTATTTAACTTTGTTAAATATGCATGGCTATTTGTCAATCGCTGCTTCAATAAGATCTTTACAAAGAAAGACGATGAGGAATCAAAATTCATGGCGTAATTAAAAAAGGGTGCGCACTCTCTCATACCTTTTGACCATTATAGTAGCAGCTGCCTTTTCGTCCTTCTAGTGATCGTGCTACTGTCCCTTGATGATTTTCAAAAAGAACCACGCAAAGCTTGCAGAGATGTCACGAAATCACTGGTTGCTGCATTTGTTAATAAAAAAGATCACTACAAGAATCCGACGACAAACTTTATGGATGGTCGGCATTTAGATATTGTTGTGGTGAGAAGCTGATGCTGAGATTTCTCAACCCAAGCAAGCAGGGCGTTCCACAACTTTTATTCAATTGATAATCAATAAACTGAAGTCACCATTAGCATAGATTTGCTAAACAGTGTTTTTATTCGTACTATAATAGCTTTGCACTTGCTTCCAAAAAAAAAAAAAAGCTGAGGGAAACTGGCAGGTGATGAAGTTTAAACTTAAATCCATTTTGTCATGATACATGAACATTTCGTATTTCAATGCGTAGTGTTCAATGTTTTTTTATCAACATTTGATGGTTCTTGAAGATCTAAAAGTTTGCCCAGTCTTTTTTGTGCTGCATCTTGATAAGGCTTGCCAATAGTTTTTACAAAGATTTCCAAATTTCCAACAGTTTCCATGAGATCCTTCTGCATGGCCTCTTCAACTTCACCTGCAAGGCAACCTGCAATCCTATTTACCTGGTCTACCATTGCTTGCCGACGGGCTGGAAAAGTCGAAATTGCTACAAACCTATTATAAAGCAAAGGTTCAATTAGATATTGAATACCTTATTGCATGTTTGGATTCAAAGATATCATCAGAGGAAAAGACATAATAACAAGAACTGCTTGCTGATAACTTGATATGGATCCAGAATACAAGGACTCGTGACACAAATGCAGAGTGAAAATATGAACAACCAGCCATTCAAGTTCAAATTTAGGGGAATAAGCCAGAAAATATAAGTTTGAACGATGTCTTCAAAGAATTTGATGATATCAATCATGCAAATAAGGCACGAACATAAAATATTTGCAAGTACACTTTAGCAATGTGGACAAGAAAAAGGAAAGAAATAACATTACCCTCCAGCAGTGCAAAGGCCAAGAACAAGAAGATCTTCTAAAATCGTAGGCAGTACTGATGTCAGAAGTGAAGCAGATAAATTAGCAGCTCCTAGTCTGCCAAAAGTCCTAAGGAACTAAGATCAAAGAGAACATTTGATCTCAGGCACAAAGACCAACAAATTGACTAAAATGAAAATGGAACTTCTTCGATGGAAGTTCTCACTGCATCTAAGATAAAAGTTACAAGGAATCCCATTGAAATATCATAAAAGAGCCGATACTTCAGTTCATAAAAGAACCTAAGCCCTTATTTTTTCTTTTCCAATTACATGAGTTGGGCTTTTAGATTATAATGCAAACACATAATGCTACCAGAAATTAATTGGGCTACAAGGTGTCATTCGAAAATTGCTCCCAGATAATTTTGTTATCTCATCCAAGGTTCCACTACTGCCACCAGAAATTATCCAGGCTATAATGTGTTGTTCGTAAATTGCTAGCAGACAAATTTGTTATTTTGTGCAAGGCTCCACCTTCCTAAAAATCCCAGAATGCACCAATGCACACCAGATTCTGCACTCATGCAATAGAGAATGGAGAAAATCAAGTGTTATCAATCTCTCATGACACAAAAGGTATCATAGTTTGTTAGCATGAAAATTGTTTGTGTTTAAATAAAATATATATGTCTTGACACAGACTATACCAGACTGTTTAATTATTTAATGATGCAGCTTCTGCTCAACAAGGTTATAAAATTGTCTAAAAGCAACTTAAGAAATTTTGGCGCATGACCACAAAAAATTAGAACTAACCACTTCGTGTATTTGTTTTTCAAATAGCTTTGAAGTGACCCTAGCACTGAAGTCCTGTGTCACTCTCATGCTGAGTTCAACTTGTTTCGCCAAATAATGGGTTTCTAAATGTATCTGGGAGGTTGGATAGTCAACTGAAGTCCATCATTTTTCAAATGATTCTTTGTATAGTTTCCCTCCACGAGCACTGTTTGATTTTAACCATATCACGTATTCTCCAAGCAATTTCTGTAAGCCAAAATAACAAAAACAAGAAACAGTGAATGAGCAATTAAAGCCAAAGAATTCTGAAGGATATGCAGTTACAAAAGATGCCAATTAAATATTGAAGGAAAGAAAGGTTTTAGTGGATCTTAAAATGAACCACTAAGAGAAGCAGGCCACCTTAAGACTAAGAATCAGCCAAATGCCCCAGATGGCTATAGCAATTATTTTAAGCTTTCCAAATAAATAAAGAGGAAAAAAATGATTGATGAAAGATAATACATGTTAAAATACAGCATAGTAACAAATATAAAGCATCATCAACACAGGTCCTCGAAAAGGTAAGAAACAATAACTCACTTGTGCATCTGTTAGTGCAGGACCAATTATATCATTTTGAATCTTTGAGGTGGTCAGCATTGTGGTAGACTTTTCTCCTCTGAATACAGATGAAGCAACAAGATCAAGATTTGATAATTGTAGGGTTGAATCTTAGAGCTCCAAAACATGAGATTTTGTCACGTCAATCTTCGATTTCATCCATCAGTTCAGCACATAGATGGTATAATTTCATGAAAAATTACCACAAATTTACATCTAATTCAATAGTGTGAGTCTGAGTATTAACATCTTTTCTGGAAAACTTACCAGCATAGTTTTTCTCCTCCATGAGATGCTCTCATTTTCCAACTCTGTAGCACACTTTTTCACACAATCAATTATTTCTGTAGCAGAGGTTAGGTCCTGCTTGGCATATTGGCAATCTTGGTTCACAAGAGTTTCACAAGCAGAAAGTAAACGTTCAGCAATCACAATTGGGGTTTCAAGTTTAAGCCTTGTTCTTTCCATTACTGTTGTTGTTGAGGCATCTAAGAAACTATATAAGAACTGTTCAACTATATAATAACTGTTCAAGTTCATAGAATCTAGTGAATTTCAAATGAGATTCAGAAACCAATAATTCAGAGTATTCTTTTCCAGTATGAGAAGAAGCTGACAGTTTTGCTTCAAGAGCAGACCGAGCAGATATAGGATATAATATCATGTCATCAGTGTTCAGCAATTTCCTTGTATTCTCCTTAATGAACAATATAGCTTCCCTCGAGCTACATAAAATCACATAAACAAAAGTAGACTCCTGTAAGTAGCTTGAGTGGTGTGGATAACAAGAAATATTGAAAAATAATATGGAAAAAAGTATATAATTAACCTCACTGGAATTCTGATAGAGGTCAGATTTATTTAACATGAAAATAACTTTCTTCTTCCACTGTTGAATATAACGAAGAAAAGCAACCTGGAAATAATATCAGGAGGGAGACCAAAATTACTTTTGGAAGCAACAAATCACTGGTAGAGATATTTTAACCACTGAGAAAACAAATTTGATATGATGCTGATATTAATACCACATCTTATATTAATATGCATGTGCCAAAGATGAAGCAATTGTTTGGATTTATATTGCTCCAGGTCACCTTTATACTAGGAATTTTCTCAGCAAAATTCACTTCAAAACTAATTGAAGGTACCTTCAACAGAACCTTGATGTAGTTCAATCTTATTTGGATGGCATTGAGGAGTTCAAATGCAGTTTTTCAGTAACTCATTTCTTACTAACATTTTCCTGGATAATGAGTAAAAATGTAACACATGGGTCAGGGCATTCAAATCCACTGTGTTTCGGAACTATAAAACATCATATATTGCTATGTCACATTCACAATCACACATACCTCACTTTCAGTTAATGGCTTGTCAGCAGAAATAACAAAAAGAAGCAAATCTGCATGGGGCACAAATTCTTCAGCAAGACACTGTTGCCTGTGGAGAATGACATTAGTCCCTGGTGTATCAGCAATATTCATCTGTTTAAGAAAGAATTAAAAAATAAAATGCATTAGCTATAGCATCCAAAGCAGCAACTAGTATGAAATGCAATTCCGCAGGAAACAAAATATCATGTTGTAGAAGTAAAAAGAAAATTTACATTTGCACATGGCAGAAATTGCTATAGACACTTCTTGTAAGGTTATGCACATCCAAAAAGTTCACATAAAAAGGATGGTTGCAGCTGAATGTTAACTAAACTGATCATAAACACACAAATTTCATGCTTTTGCAAAGAAAAGAGGTAGTTCTGCCTATGGATCCCTATGCATAAAATACCTTGGAACCTTGCATTTTGACATAAACAAGATGACCCAAGTAGGAATTTATATAGAACATCTCAGAACTGAATTCAGGAGTTCAAGTGAGATGAAAAGTGAAAAGACTTCCTTCTTTAAGAATTGGAACTGGTAGGTAGCATATATAGTGACCATCTCGATGCCTTTCATGGCGTTGTTGCTATTCAGAATTACTCTTGGAGTAGCATAAGAAAGTTATCTCATTTGTTGTAGGAACAACAACCTCATTAAGGTATCTTTTTCCAAGAAGTGTATTAATAACAATTGATTTCCCAGAGTTGAACTCACCCTGGATGGTATCAATAAAGGCAAACCGTCATGGGAGAACAAAAACCTTTGGCAGCATGTTCATAAAGATAACGACACCAAAAACCAACCAATCTCTATATGAATCTTAGTATTTTTTTTTTCATGATAACAAACTTATCTACGTTTATTACAGAAAAAGTTTTTAAGAAAAGCATATGAAGAGAAAAATCAAGGAAAGCTAAAAGTGAAAAATGTTAATGTCAATGCCTTTCTCTAGAAGGGTTTTAGTGCAACATTTTCACTTACGAATGCTAGGTCCAACCTAGATAGAGGGTAGGGTTGAGGAGTGATAAGAACAAGAAATGGATCCTTAGAAAGTATAAAAGGCATATTGACCCGTGATTTGATTGAACAAGGTATGGAAAAACAACAAAGGTAACACCCAAAGGCCAAAATGTAACAGTTTAGTCAGCTTGTTCATGGAGTTATTTGAACAAAAATGGAAACCCTGAGACATAAAACAATGCTCTGATCTCATGCAACAAGCAAATGAAAGTCAAGACATAAACTTGACACAATTGTTTTTCTTCATTAAGAAGTTGAACAAAACTACAAGAAAAATACTGACGACCATTTTAATTATAGATCTTTTCAAGTAAATAGTAAAGATTTATAAAAAAAAAATGTAGAGCTAGTACCAATGTATATCCCTGGCACCAGAATTTGTTGAAGTTCAGCACACAATTACCACTATAGCCAGTAAAAATGGCTCATCAATCCGAGATACCACATCAATGAGAAGTGAAAGCTCCCCCATCTGTCGTTCAAGTCCAATACGCTCATTCAGGCTTAAAAAGCAAGAAAAAGAATTGACAAGTATGTAGATTATCACATGAGCATCCAAATGCTAAATTTTTAAATAAAAGATCACCAGAGGAGTAGCTTTCTGCATAACATCAATAGCTTCGAGCAATATTGATCTCTCTTTTTCTATGAGCTGTTTTTCTCTATCCTCCATTTAACAAAGCCTGCCACTGTTTTTTTCTCATGAATATCATTTTCCATATCCAATTATTTGAGCTTGCTGAAGCTTTTGAACTCATCCTGAGATTTTTTATCTGTTGCACTCGCAGTGTCAAACATTTGACTCAAATCATCATCACTAAATAACTTCAAATCTTCCAATGACAAAACTAAACCACTAGCACCAAAATTGACAAATTTTGATGCTCCCATGGACACTTTGGCCTCCCCACGAGAAGCATAAAGGGAAAAGATTGGTATATTCACATTCCCAAATCCAGAGCTCATTTCTACATCAAAATCTTTCTCTAGGCCGAGAACATGTATAAGAAAATCAGCACCTTCAGAATTTGACGCATTCAATGCAGCATTTGGTGTTTGCACAATCCTGGCTACTAAAGGCAGAACAACTGATTCAGATTTAGAACCCATCAGCATATTTCTTACCACAAAGGCAGGAAGCCCTGTAAAACAACAAAGAAACACATTACCCTTCCATACAAGAATTATTCCAAGCATCCATTACATGTATTAAACCAGAATGAACACAATTCTCTACAAAATCCACTTCAAATACTAACTCAAACCATATGCAAATAAAGAAAGTACGCACAATAATCATAAAATTAATTTGGAGAGGCATTGAAAAGAAAGGAATCGTGGAAACTAAACTTAAAATGGATAAATGAAGCGAGACCGACCTTGATCAGACAGCACAACACCACGAGCATTAACAGCAGCAGCTATATCAACACGTTCTCCAATCAACAAATAAGCACGATCTCTCACCACTGACTTCACCAAAAAGGCTGCCTCGTAAAGGCTCTTCCCTCTGCCACCACGACCATCACCATCACTGCCACCATTGAGGACCACAATCCCTACCGACTTAGACACAGCCTTATCAATCAAATCCGACGCTTCACTTCCGCTACGAATGACGTCCTCGGAGTCCAGCTGGGGGACAATGTTGGCGACTTTAATTTCGGGGCGTTTGTAACCGCCAGGGAAAAGGGTTCTTGGTGGTGGTGGTGGTTGTTGTTGATATGGAAAGTTTTGATTGGTGAACTGTTTTTGTTGGAGAGGATAGGGAAATGGTGGGTTCGGTGATGGGGAGATTTGAAGCGAGCGAAAGAGGGGGGAAGGGGAGGAGGGAAACGGATGAGAAAGAATGAGGGTTTTGGGGTGTGGAGGGAGAGGAGACGTGTCATGGAAGTGAAATGGGAGAGAAAGAGTGTAAGACGGGAAGTGGGAGGGGGAGGCGGAGGAAGCTTGTCTCTTGCTATGAATTTGTGCAATCGTATCTGTTTTGTTTGCGAAGGAAAGTTTGAAGACAAAGCTTCGACAACCTCGATCAAACCTGTCATGCTGTTTTGTTTGAGAAAAGTTACGTACAAGTCCTCTAATTATATAAGGGGTTTCAATTTGCTCTTCCATTATGTTCTAACTTCTAACTTTCAACAATTTTAATAGTCACTATAAAAAATATTTACGGTTGCATTTTGTTTGTATACTTAATTTGAAGCTTTAGTTTGGGTAGAATTTAACCAAGAGATTTTAATAAAATTTAATATTTTAAATTAATTTCTTTAATTCATTATATTAAAAAAATATTAAAACTAGTTTTTTTAAAATAATTATCTACTTATTTTTTTTCAGAGACTAGGATGAAGATGATAAGAATAATATAAAAAATTAAATAAATTTAAATATGTATTTTTCAATGATATAAATTTAAATTTTTTATTAGTTACATTCAATAATGTTAAAAAAAATCTAAGTACCTTGAAAAATAAGATTTATATCTTTAATAATTGGTTAATCTCTTAATCTGGGTGTTTATTTTATTTTTTTTAATCAAGTTGATTGATGAAAATACAATAATTTTAAAAAATATTTTGAAAATAAATATATAATAAAAAATAGAGATTTTAAACTTTTTATTTCAAAAATTTATAGTCTATTTATATTTATAATCTATGAGTATTTTTTAGAAGGAGAAATAAAGTATAATATTATATAATATTGTCTCGGTACTATCTTGATAGCATTAATGAGAATATATATATATATATATATATATATATATATATATATATATATGATTGAAAATATAATGTGTTATTAAAAAAATTTATACATTATTTTTAACATAATATTAATTTGATACTTAGAAGATTTTTTATCCTGTTAAGAAATTAAGAGATAACAACCTTGGATTTTGTTTCGAGCAATTATTATGGGAAAAAAAAAAAAAAAAGAACAAGCTTGGAGAAGGTGGGACCTTGCTAGATACCGAACTCAAAGTGCTTCGGCCGGAACATACCCGAGCCAAGGGGGAAAAGCCGTCGAAGCAAAGCTTCGTTGATGCATTCTGTTATCCTTGGTACAGAGGCCGCTCTAATCTCTGCAATTTTTCCAAGTTTTTAGTAAGATATCCATGAATAACACTGCGCTGAAATTGGCTGGACTCTCCATGTAAGAGATTGATGTGGGGATTCAATTGCCAGTTTATGAATCTCCAACCCTGACCAGATGCAGCAAAGTCTTCTTCTTGTTTTACCATTCCGACAATCAAGAGCAACTCGAAGGCCCCTGAAAGTGTTAATTTGTTCCTGCTGTTCCGAATAGACAGAATAACACTGAGACTCGATAAAAACACAAGACCATGTTTATTCCATAATATGATATATGCTCGAGCTCTTGTTCCTCCTTGCTGTAGCACATGGAAAATTCAAAATGGGTCGTCATCTCCTAGGTTATGTAGTTGATATTTGATTCCAATGAGTCTCATGAAAATTGTAAGGGTTGATTCTCTCTCAGATCTCTATTTCTTTATTTCTCTACTCAAATTCTTTTTTCCTCGAATGGATTTCTAAATGTATATTTGTTGCTAATATAAACAGGTTTGATTTTGGTATTAGAAGAGTAGTTTTAAAGATTTTAGTTTTGATGTGGGAAAGATGTGAAAGAGAAATTTTTAAATAGAGGGGAAATGGTGTTCAAAAAGATTAAAAAATTTGTTTTTGAGAGAGATCTTTCTTATTTTATTTCTTTTTGTATTAAATATATATGTGAAGATATTATAGTTATTTTGACCGATTAAAAAGATATTTAAAAGTAAAGTAATGAATTTTTTTAAAGTAATTTTTATTTATAAATATATTAAAAAATTATTTTTAAAAAATTATTTTAACCGTGATAAAAAAATAAATTACCTGTAATTTAAATTGTTTGTTTTTTAAATTGTAATGGATGCTTAAAGGTGTTTATACACACACAATGAAAATAACTAATTAATACCAAGCCGCTTGTAGCTCAGTGGCGTCAGCGCTGCTCGCCTTCTTTCGAACCTCAGTTCGAGTTTCCGTGGGAGTGGGGCTGGCGAGTGGTGTCCTTTCTGGTTCTGCTAGCTCCTTGCTGTGTGGTACGCCTGTCGTCCCCGCGGTGCCTAAACTGTTTACTGAGGCTTGCAGGATGTCCAGTGAACTGTGGGATTAGTCGTGGTGCGCGTCAGCTGGCCGGCCACCCATGTTAATAAAAACAAAAAAAAGAAAGAGCTAATTAATAAATAAGGGCGCAGGAACTAAATAGGTAAGGGCAACAGTAACGCATGACCTTCTTTCAGTCACCTCATCTGACGCCTCTTCTCTACTGTCTCCAAAGCATTTTGCCCGTGAGTGAAACACCATGGGAAGGAAACCCAATGCTCTTGTCAAGCTCAAAGAAAGGGTTAATGTCGTAAGTTTAACCACCATCAACAACATGCTTGCCCTTTCCCCCCTTTTAACAAATGCCCGTAGACCAAGTGATTCTATGTCTTTTCTTTATATTGTTTTCCGGTCTCTTCGTCCTGTCTTTCACTTGTTTTTTTTTTTTTTTCCAAAAGACTAGTTTTTCTCTTTTATAAATTGTTTTTATCTTCCTGTTTTCAGTTCGTATTTTGTATGTCCCGGTTTATTTTACTCATTTTTCTATGTAGTCAATGTTTTTGGTTAAAGTTTTCATCTTTTAAATTGGATATTGAGAAGTAGCTTGGAAACGACAAAGTTTGTTAATATGCAATGACCCTTCGTCTTCTCTTCTTTTTAGCATCTTGCGATTGCTTGATAATCATCCTATGTAATCATGGTTCGGGGTTACAAAGTCGCTATTCCAAAAGGCGGTTTTTATAGTTTAGCTTTGCGCTTGTTTTATTCTATGATTTTCCTTTGTTAATGTTTGTGGTTTTGAATTACAAATGTCGTATATGTGGCATAGAGGAAATTTCAAATTCTAGCCTCGTTATCGATGTGCAAGGCTTGAAGTGTCCACCCTTATAGTGTTGTTTTTTTGGAAAAATCACCATTTAGCGTTTATTGTATTGCCATTCTTACAGTTCCTTGAAATGTTTAGTTGTTTGATTTGATTCAGTTTTGAACTGATTTGTTTGATTTTGATGGAAGGCTGAGAGTACGGTTCCTACTGTTACAGAGGTGCACTTGGAGCACAATAATAGCAATTCCTTCTTGCAGCCTGAAAGCTCGAAACCGCCTGCAAATTCTTCCTTGGAGGGAGTGGAACTGAACCTTCAAATGCAAGCAGACTTTGCTAAATCATCTTCAAAAAAGAAAGCAAGGAAAACCCCTGCCAAGGTTAGGCGATCTGAGCGTCTTCAAACTTCAGCTGTGGATACTCAGAGCCAAGATATTGAGCGTGTCATTGAAGAGATAACTCTCAGTGGAAGCGAAGAAGAAGAGGACCCTGTGGATGCAGAATTGCCGGAGCCTACTTTGATGGGCAAAAACTTGGAAGGAAAAGTAGACTATATTCTGAAAATGCTAGAGGTGCAACGTAATACCACAGATGTGAAGTTTGAGGTATTAAGTTATTACCTGGGATGTAATTAGCTTTCTTGTTCTTTATATCTTTGCCATTTTTATTTAATCCATATGTAACAGTAGTTGACTATGGATCAGGCAACCAAGAACTCTTTTAGTGGGAACTGTAGCGGTGGGGGTGATATCACATATAAAAGCTTGTATATTGATTCCGAAAAGAAGGTGATCTTACTCCTGTGGCATGTTGAGAATCCTTTCTTTTGTTATGTTATCATCCTTAATTATTTTTAGTTTAATTCTTGGATTTCATTTTTTGGTTATTTGCTTTGTAGGTTGAAGCCTTAATGGAGGAAAATTATCAGCTTACTTTGAAGTTACAAAATGCTCTTGGCAAAATAGAAGCAGTATGTTTTTCCCTTTATTTGTCTATGTTTTAACTGGACTTGTTTATTAGTAGATGTGAATATTGAGAGGTAACCATTCTCTAGAAGCATTATAATGTCCCATACATTGAGGAATAAATTGAATGTTTTTCATTGTAGTGACAAAGTTTCATTATCTGCTGATGAGCTTTTGTTGACACTGCTGAGTGAGTTAGTACGGGTGGTTTCATGTATGTTGGAATTTCCTAAGTTTTTGGTAATAGTTATCTGTGTAAAGGCTTGGGGCACATCTTGGGATCATTTCTTTCCAGTCAAAATGTATGTAGCAAAGTGGAGGTTCTATACATTCTTTTACTAGTGTTTTAAAAATAAATATTTTAAAGTTTTCATTGTTTATTCTATATCTCTTCATGATGTCCATATCACTTCACTGATTGCCTAGACAACATGACAACCCTCTTTTGCTTGAGTTCTTTAATGCATGTATACCAGAAGCATGCAAGATCAATTCTGGGCTACTTCTATTTTCTTTACACATTTTTTTTTGTGAGACAGAAATACATTAGTTTACAGGCATCATACTAGTCTCTCTCTGCTCCCCCCTCCATCCTTCTTTGCTTGAGTTCTTGAATACACGAATAGCAGATGCATGTGACACCAATCCATGGGTTTAGGCCAGTTCTGTTTTCTTTATCTATTTTCTTTTTCTTTTTTGAGATGGAAGTGGTGTTAGCGCTGAGGATTGAAATTGTAAAAAATTCTCTGAAACAAATCACACTCTTCAAAATCCATCTGGCTTCCTGAAAGCAGTGAGTTTTTCTTTTCCCCTGCTAAGTTCATATAAGTTGTATATGACCTGTCCAGCTGGCAAATTTGATGCGTTTGAATAGGTCATGCGTTTACCTTCTTATTTATTTCTTCTTGAGTTGTGATGTGCTTGTTTTGCGTCCTTTTCATAACCAGAAATGCTTTACGGATGGAAAGGGGGGAAATAACGCAGTTGTTTTTGTCACGATCACACATTTTGACATGATTTTGTTTTCTGTAGTATGAGAAGGGGAACCCTATGGTTTGTGATATGCTGGAGAAGTTCAATGAGATCTTGCTCTCACAACTATCATCTGAAGCAACTGATGGCAATTTTACTGCACCTGAAACTGTTACTGCTACTAAGAGAAAGAGACTTGACAAGCAAACAAGAGGGAACGGACACTCTGACAATCTCACGTAGTCCTTGTTTTGCTTCGATGGAACTAGTGGGCTCTTGGACAGAATATCAGGAGCCCACGATCACTTCTTTTTTTTTTTATCAAAGCAATACTTTTGAGGTTCCAAGTCGGTGTATTATTTGCGCGCGCCCGTTTATCCGCAGCAGGTGTTTTTATCCTTCACTTTTCAGCAACTCTCTGTTTGATTAGCCATGAAAGAAACTGAACAGCTCTGATAAGTTCATTATATTGCTCACAAGGAATGGCAACATCGGGCACTCAAAGGAATTGAACAGTTCTGATAAGTTCATTATAGTATTTAGTATTATATACACTCTATTGCTCACTTTATCCCTCAAAGGAATGGCAACATCGGGCACTCAAAGGAATTGAACAGTTCTGATAAATTATAGTATTTAGTATTATATACACTCTATTGCTCACTTTTGAGGTTCCGCTGTTAGTGAAGGAGATGGATAAACAAAATATACGCGTAGTGAATCCCTCCTTACAGCCCCATTTATTCTCATTATGATAATAGTGGGAACAAAATTACATCGTACATGGGGAAGGCACCGAGGATCCACATATCAAGCAACCCATGGGGCTTCATCTGGTGTAAGGTTTTTAACAGAGAAAAACACTGACAAAAATTTACAGTTCAAGTGGAACTAAAATAAGAACCCTGATCAAATTACTGACAACCGGTGGCTGCCTCTCATTATTCTCCTTATTTATTTACTCATCCCCTCCTTCGTAACTGGATTCATCGAATGAAGTGGCAAATCCAAAAACATTCTTCTGAGGTGTTTTTGCAATTTCACAGTCATCTTCATTGTCTTCCATGATAGAGGATGATGGAGAAGAAAAGTCCAAGCACATTCCACGTATAACTTGCTCATAGGATGCAGAGAGATCTTGTGTCGTGATTTGGTGGTACTCTACAAGCTGGTGAAGGCATTGATTTTCCCGTTTAAGATTAGCATTTTCATTTGCTAATCTGGATTTTTCTGCAAGTAGTGCTTCCATTTGAAGCCTCATCTGCGTCGATGTATAGGCATATCGTGTTGATCAAAATTGCAACCACAATTATTCTACCATAACCTAGTCAATTTGAGGTGTACATCAAGGGCTTACCAGATCATCTTCTTCTGGTCTAGTCCCTTCACAGAATCCATCTCGAATCCTCCTGTTTTCCTCTTCAAGCAGAGCGCATCGCTCTTGCATAAAACATAAATCGGATCTTATGGACTTCAGTTCCCTAGCAAGTGCAGCTGCTTTTGTTGCCATGGAAACTGCCAGCTGCAGAACACCAAAGGGCAATAGCAATTAGCACAGAACTTGATAGCATGCAACAGATCAAACACAGCACTAAACAGAAAGGAGAAACCAACATTTTTGGCTCTCTTCAGCCTTTTATTCTCAAGGCATTGCCCGTTTCCCTTGTGAAGATCATTTTCTTGATCTTCTGATCTGTCATCTGGGTCAAACTTCCTCTTCAATACTTTCTTTCCTTCTTCATTTTGTAGCTTTTCTTCATCTTCTCGTTTGATCTCGGAGTCCTCGAGTACACTGTGGAATATTTCTCTCAATGTGGGCGGTTCGGCTAGATGTCTAGCTCCCTGAAAACAGAGAAAACAGTGAAGTAACAGATTGACATCAGAACCAGAATTTCTCTGATCGAAAAGAACAGCTCCAGGATAAGCAGGTAAAATATATTTCTTATGGAGACAAAACCAAGTTTGACAGGTACAGTAAACAAGTTTAAAAACTCTAAAAAGAGTTGCCATCTACCTGAAGAGCATTGTCCAGGTTATCAGAGAGCTGAGAAAGGTTTTGAGAAATGGAGTCAAACCCTCTTAGGAGAAGCAACGAATCCTCCTTCATTCTCTTAGCTCGATCTGATTCACCAACTCTCTGTAAAAAAAACCGTCTGGATTAAGGATACAAAGAAATCGAAACAAGAATCAATGGAAAGAAAGATGAAACTTAAAAGTTAAAACAGACCACATGTTTGCCAAAAGAAGGATCAAGATTGAGCTGATCTTGACCAATTGAGACATGGCGTTGCCGATTCTCAAGAAGCGTGCCCATACGGCTGCGCAGAGCGCTCCAAAAACGCTTGTCTGAATCCGGGCTAAACAGAGGAGACGAAACCATCAAGCTAGTAGACTCCTTTAATCAGCAACCAATGTAAACAAAATTAGTGTGTAAGAAATCGGCTTAAAAGAAGAGAATCAAAGAGAAAAGGAAGGAGGGGGGGATACCTTGTTGAGGTGGGCAGCTGGGGATGGGGAATCCACTGAAGCAGCCATGAGAGGGTTAACGGCTAGTTTCTTAGGAGGAGAGACTAATAGTGGTGATGATGGGCATTTAAAGGATAGGGCACCGATCTTAGGCTAACGTTCGAAAATCAATCTGAAGTATTTTTTTTAATGATCTTGTCTTTGTCTTGTTGGACTATCTAAAAAGTGTACGGACCTGGTCCACTCCTTTGAGATCATTTAAAGCAGTTGTGTTTTTTCAACGCGCCAGGTGGGCTCTCATTTTCTGATCCAACGGTTGCGATCTGCGATTTAAGATCCGGTGAGATGGGGTAAATAAAGTAAAGTAGCAGCTCCTGCCAACGTTTCCTTGGAACATGACACACTTTAACTTATCTTACTTGTAGTGATTATTAAGTTACAGAAATTAAAGACAAATATAAATATCTTTTTATTACTTTGAATTAATGCCTTTTAGATTATGAGAATATATCCATTTGTTTTAGGATGAGAAAAATAGACATGAAGATAAATATAAGAAACATGAGGAGGCATTGACGGGCAACATTCAAACAAGATAAAAATAAATTTAAATCTTAAATTTACTTTTTAATTATTAAGAATTTAAATCTTTTTAGTTTTAGGACCGGTAAAATTAATTGAGGTATTTATAAAATAACATCAATATTAATATTAATAAAAAATAAATATAATATGTAGAATTTATATTAGAGTTTTTTTTAATAATTGGATATTTTTTATATCATAAAAAAAGATAAAATTTTCTAATATATATATATATATATTCAAATGATTAGAATTCTAACTTAAAAATTCATTTTAGTACTAAATTTTTTTATGTAAAAATATTTTTCTATCCAAGCCATGCTAATGACAAACCATCTCCGATATTTTTTATTAAAATCATGGATAACACAACAATTATGGTATGAGCCGTCATGGTGTTTTTTATTAAAAAATACATGGATAGCATTAACAAATAAACGGTGAACTCATCACATTCATGGTTCGCTCTGTAAATTTTCTCATTAACTACAACCAATCATCTCAATTGTAACATTGAAATTACCTGGGAAATTAACTGCATAAAATAAATGAAAAGTCCGGCCGTTACCTTTATCTCCAAAGTCCAAAGAACTGCTGGTTCTCAATTCTCATACAATAAAAAAGGCAACAGTCTATGGCTACTCTTGCTCCTCCATCATCCTCCTCTTTCACCTTCTCCAGTCCAGCTTTGAGGCTTTCTCATCCTTCCCTCTTATGCTCATCACGCCTCTCTCTTTCTTCTTTGTCGCAATTATCCCCACTCTCTTCTTCTCTCTCAATATCTCCTTCTTTTGCTGCACAACCCATATGTTCAAGACGCCTCTTTACCTCTTCTTTCACAGTCAAGGCTAGTGCTGCAGAGAAAAAGAAGGTCCTTATAGTTAATACGAACAGTGGTGGTCATGCAGTTATTGGGTTCTATTTTGCTAAAGAGCTCTTGGGTTCTGGCCATGAAGTCACTATCTTGACTGTTGGTGAAGAGAGCTCTGACAAAATGAAGAAGCCTCCGTTCAGTAGGTTCTCAGTAAGTTCTAAAAATCAGAATATACAGATACGCGTGGCTTATAATTATCTGGGAAATTCTCTTCTTAACTTTGGCTGTTGGGGCTTGGTTTTTGCTTTTGAAGGAAATTGTGAGTGCTGGAGGGAAGACAGTATGGGGAAACCCAGCGGAGGTAGGGAAGGTTGTGGAAGGAGCAGCATTTGATGTGGTGCTGGATAACAATGGCAAGGACCTGGATGCTGTGAGGTTTGTTACTATATTTCTCGTTGCTAGCGAGTAACTAGTATTTAAACATGTAGGCGAGGCATGTCATGTTGTTAATTTGCAATGTGATCCACTATGTTCAACTCCATAATTCGGTGGTTTTAGTAATTTCTGATTTGGGACTGTAAGCAATATGCTGAAGGATGAAATGGTGGAATATTTCAGTTAGGGAATGGCCCATTTGCAAATTATTCAATGGATTTGGCTCGAAGTTCATGAATTTAAGCATTTAGCATGTTTACTAATTACTAATTTCTGAGTTGATTGCAGGATTTTATATTTGAGGGTACTGGGAATTGACATGGTCAGCGAATACTTCTGTATATTTTATAGCTATGAGATTGGCAAAATTGAAGATAAGGAACTGACTGTGGGATTCTGAAGATGAGAAAACAGTTCACAATTTGAATAAGCAAAAACTAGCATCTAATACCTACGGGCTTATAATGGTTGTTGAATTTTAAGGGATTAGTAACTTTGTGGTGTTTGTGCTGATTGTTTAACAATCATAATTCCAGGAAGATGTATCCTGCAAGTATATACAGTTCCAGCTTCTCTTTTGATCACAACTGTTTTTCTCCCTGCATAGGCCTGTAGTAGACTGGGCCAAGAGTGCTGGTGTGCAGCAGTTCATGTTCATCAGCAGTGCTGGAATCTACAAACCAACCGATGAACCTCCTCATGTTGAAGGGGTAACTTTGTGTATTATGTTTCCAGTAGCATTCAAATAGATTGGAACCTTCTGATCTTGACTGAGTTTTTCGTCATTACAGGATGTTGTTAAAGCTGATGCTGGACATGTTGGGGTGGAGAAATACATAGCAGAGATTTTCAGTAGTTGGGCTATATTCCGTCCACAATACATGATTGGGTCTGGAAACAATAAAGATTGTGAGGAGTGGTTTTTTGATCGTAAGTACTAAGTAGGCAGCTAGGCGATAGGGGTATTGTGCAATGCCTCGATGTGGAGGCAATACGAGTTTACGATTATCTTTGATGTGATTTCGTTTCAGTTTCATTTTAACAGCTGCCAACGATTGTTTTATGTCAATGGTGTCGAATTCTTTACTTCTCTATCATTAAAACTTTTATTAAAAAAATATTGGAAAATTTCCCAGCTGTTAACTTCTGTCCATGAGAAAACCTGATTTTGATCTTCTGTGAACAGGAATTGTCCGGAAAAGGCCAGTGCCAATCCCTGGCTCTGGGATGCAACTGACTAATATCGCCCATGCCAGGGACTTATCCTCCATGCTTACTCTAGCAGTAGAGAACCCAGAAGCTGCATCTGGCAAGATATTCAACTGTGTAAGCGACCGCGCTGTGACCCTGGATGGAATGGCCAAACTCTGTGCACAAGCTGCAGGTCTACCGGTAGAGATTGTGCATTACGATCCAAAAGTTGTTGGAATTGATGCAAAGAAAGCTTTTCCTTTCCGAAATATGGTAATGGCTTATTTTCATCTCATCATGAATTACACGCTTAATTACTTCAGTTCATTATTTGTCCACCTTGAATCATCACTTACAATTCTACTGGACAGTTTTAACAATTTCATCTCCTCCTGCGTGCACTAGCCCCTTTATATACTTCATGGCAAAACAAAAACAGTAATTAGATTGTAGAAAACACCAAATGATGCGCTTCAGCTGTATCATATTACTCAAGTTGCTGTAGAATTTATACTGGAAGCCATATAATATACCTTAATGTGTTCTTTACACCAGAACTTTGCAACTGTTTGAGCAAATAGATGGCCTAAATAATTGGCCCATGTATATCGTGCAGCACTTCTATGCGGAACCACGAGCTGCCAAGGAAATATTGGGATGGCAGGGTACCACAAACCTTCCTGAAGACTTGAAAGAGCGATTTGATGAGTATGTTAAGATTGGCCGAGACAAGAAGCCAATGCAATTCGAGATTGATGACAAAATACTAGAGTCACTCAAAGTTCCAGTAGCCGCGTGAATAATAATCACGATAAAAAATCTACCTACCCATTGTAGATGGCTGTAGGAGCTGCATTTTATCTCTCATCTCTGTTCTATATTTTGTCAAGAATTATTTAATTTATTAAGAAATTATTCATCTGCTAATATAATTCTGCTTTGATTATAGGTCTAATGTGTGTTTGATAATGCAATTGTGAATGCTTTTCGAGTAGCTCTCGCATGAAAAAAAAACATCATAAAAAAACATGAAAGGTTTAATAAAAAATGATGTTTTTTTAAGTATTTTCTCTGATAATTTTGAAATCTTTATATCAAAATCATTAAAAAAAAAAAAAACATCAATTTAATAAATTTTCAAGAATAAAAGTACTTTAAAAAACATTCAAATGCTAAATGTTTAGATGAAAACTCGTGTTGCTCTGCCCAAAAATAATAAAAAAAAACATTCAAAATTATACTTGCAATATATCTTCATAAAAGCTTCAGAAATTCATGCCTTGATATAAAATAAAATTTATCACGACTAAAATATTAGGCTTTGATTACTACAGGTCTGCTTCTAATGAGATTCTGATGTTCTGCCATGGCTAAATACAAGGGACCCGTCCAGGTTATTAATCATCTCAAATCCTCATTAAAGAATTTTGAGAAGGAAATAACAAGCATTGCCAAGATAATTTCTCTGTTAGCTAAAACCATGGTTTTAAGCAAAGGGTAGTGACACAACTTTCAGAGCAAAATCCGGCATCCCTATATGTGTGATGACAGCAATAGTAGCTCAACAGTGTGATCATGGATAGAAAGCTCGTCTGCCCCTGGATCTTCATCAATGACAGTCTAGCTTGAACTTGATTGTACCTGTAACATTCTATGCATATTTTCATGCGCAGATTGTATTTCAAATGTCAAGAAAGGAAGCATAAACTAGATCAAAAGACGGGAAGCACCGAGTACATAAAGCAACTAGAAAATGAAAGATAAAACATTGCCAGCAACAATACAACATTGTTTTGCAAATTCTAAAACTAATCCAATTCCAGGCACATTAAAACTACAGCTAGTAAATTTGCTAGTTTGATATCTGAATGAACAGTACTTTTCTCTGCCCTGGTCTACAATAGATAAATCTATTACCCTATGTTATCGCAGTGGACTACCTTATACAGAAAAGGCTTGTAATCCAAAACTATCCATGGTCCATGGATGAATTTCAAATATAAGAACTCCAAGGCAGTAAAGTACCTGCGATGAACTACTCTTCATGCTTGATTTCTAGTCCCTTGAGTTTTGATTCCAATTCATCTTCACTGTCAGTATCCTCATCCTCCTCTTTTGCATCTTCATCAAGATCTTCTCCATCTGGATCATTCTCATCCAAATTTCCAAGCACATCAGGCAAACCCTTAAATATATCCTTCACCTCATCAATCCCTTCATCAGATATGTAATTACCATTGATATTTAATGATTTAAATCCAGGCTTATCCACAACAGCCTGTGCCAGGAGCCTTGCCCCAGCTAGTCTAATTGCATTAATGCTCAAATCAACTTCATTGAGCTGGCCATGGCCCCCTTCAATTGCCTTGGCAATCAAAATAGCACCTTCATCCTTCAGTTCATTCTCAGAAAGATTTAATTTAGTGAGAAATTGTTTTGCCGCAATGCAGGCAGCCAAATAAGAAGCACCTTTGGCTGTAATGTCATTCCCAGCCATATCCAGAACTTCCAATGAAGGTGCACATTCCTTTAAAGCATTAGCAAGTGCTTCAGCCCCCTCGTCCTCCAAATTAAGATAACTGAGGTAAGCTTCAGTAAGATCTGCAAATGCAAGTAAAGACCTGCTCAGAGCAATACCAGCTTCTACACCAAACATATTATCACGTAGATCAAGCTTCCTTAAATGGTTACATGATCCAAGAGCTTTAGCTAGGGCAACACCACCTTCCAAGCCCACCCTTGTTGAAGAACATCGAAAATCCTCCAGTGCAGTGGAACGTTTCACCATCTCAGCAATAGCAACTGCACCTTCATCTCCAGTCATGTTATTGTGAAAATGAAGGACCTTGAGCTTCTCGGTTGAAGGAATCAGCTCACAAACAGCTCGTGCAGCTTCTTCCGAGATACCATCATTTATCAAATAAAGCTCCTCCAAATTATTCTGGGTCTTGAGAAGTTTCCCAAAAGCCCTGACACCCTTTTCGCCTAAGGCATTGTTTGAAAGGTTCAGATACCTCAGATTACAGCCTTCTAGGGCTGAAGAAAATATGTTCATCACTTCAAGAGCTTCTGATTCCGATCTTCCTGCAACAAAGTCCGAAAGGTCCACTTCTGTCAATTGATCCTTTATGGACAACAAGATTGGTTCTGTGACATGGGCTGCCTCCAAGCCAAAGCTTCTATTGCTGAAACATATCCTAGTATACAAGTTTCCTGGCACCTTAAGGGGTTTTAAAACCTCCTCAGCCTCCTCTCCACTAATAAATGCCCGCCGGCCACCAGATATATCAAACACGTTCGCAAGAGTAGCCGCACCTTTATCGGCTGTTGCTGCCACCTCTTCATCCTCCTGTATTCTGGGCCCCCTTTTGAGGACCTCCAACATAAGCCTACTAGACTCTTTAGCATATATCTGCACAGCAGAACTTCCATCACCATCCGGCTGTTTCTCATAGTGCGTGTTTGCAGCTGCAAAAGCCACCTCTTCAATTTTCTTGGCATCCTCCTCAGCCTCCTCTTTGCTCAACAACCCATACTTTCTGGAGATAAAGGATGGGGTAATGAAATTCTTTGTCATCCGTTCTACAAGCATTAGCCTTGTACTCTGACCAGGGGGCCACAATTTGACAGATATGCGGTGCTGCAAAGTCTGTGTTGCAGAATCCATGTCGAAAAGTAACCTGGAAACATACACACACCATAGCTACTATCATCTATAAATCCATGCCCTAATCTAAATAACAGTCCTTGATAAGCAATACAGGGGGGCATTCTTCTCTAGCAATTTCGAAGAATGTTCCTCCTTGTGAGTTATAAGACTACAGTAACTTTAATAAATAAATAAAATACACAGTAATTAATTTGTCAGCAAATACAGTTCCAAAACCAAAAAGCCACCTTGAAAATCCAATCAACATTAATTTAAGACTAAGTAATTTATAATATTATCCAAATTAAAATAGAGAAACCACACAGATCCACGGATCCAAAAAACCAAATTGAAGCTTATCCTTGATTTCTTTGGAGGAAGGAGAGGCAATGGTGAGTGAGTACCTGAGACGAAGCGAGCACGAGTACAAACCCTAGTTTTTCCGGAGAAACTATTTGTTTTTTGGGAGATAGAAAAACGGGGGTTAAGGGAATCGGTAATTTTTAAGATAGGCCGAGGAGTGATGGTGCAAAACTGTATTTTTTTTTTTAAAAAAAAAAGGTATTTTAAAAAAAATTAAAAATTAAAAATTTTATTTTTAATTAATATTTTTTTAATGTTTCTAAATAATTTAATGTGAAAAATTAATTTAAAAAAAATAATAAATAAATAAATTTGAAGGTAAGCGTAATCGTCAAGCTGCAGGGTGCAGAGGACAAAGAGAACAAAATAAAATAAAAAAAGGTAAGCTTGCGGGAATTGGAGGGAACTCAAATCATGCGTCGCTTAAAATTAGTGCTGGGAAAGGCGAAGAGCTGTAGGTTTCCTGCTCTCTCTTCTCTGTGGTAAATGACGAGACTGTCCTCTTTTTGTCCAATTGATTTGACGACCTGTCAGTTAGAGGCTGGATGGGCATTTCCACCTGGGCTGACCGTGTTTTGTTCATTCGGCCCTTTTCCCTTGTAAAAGACATGTGTCCATTTTTATCCTTTGAGGCAGTCTTATCACCGAAGAGCATAGATTTTTTACTGGTGCATTGGCCGTGCTGCACTTGCAAGATTTATTTTAAGTGCAAATCAAAATTTAAATGTTGGTAAAAATATCTCATTAAAAAAATAAATAGATTTTAACCTTGAATAATATTTTTATTTAATGCTAAGATAAAAATATATTAAATTCATTTGGTTTAATTAAGTTTGTCTGCAAAATTTTCAGAGGTAATTTATAAAAAAAAAAACTAATTGAGCTTAGTTGAGCTTGAGTAAACAAATAAAATTTATAACGCCAGTTACACACAGTAAAATTTTTAATTTAAAATATATTTTATTTAATTACATGATAATAAATAAAATATTGGTTTTTTTATATGGATTGTTTTATTAAAAAACATGATGAATACATGAGGTCTAAATAGCAAAAGTAAATAATTAACTATAAATAATGAAATTGCGTGTTTTTCTGTTTTTTCAAGTAAAATGAAAAAATGATGAAATTTTATTTTTTAAATTGACAAACAAAAATGCATTGAATAAAAATAATAATAGAATGGATAATGAAAATTAACATGTTAAACACAGGCATAGCTCGTTGATTCTATTAGGTTAAATCATTATTTTATTTTATTTTACCAAATTATAAATGACAGTATAAAATAGAAGTAGAAAGGATCTCGGATGCGCACTTGGCCTTCAAACATAACTTAGATGCATAGGCCTTTAAACATGCTTACTTGACCCGTATCTGTATATTTATGTTAAATCTATTAAAGGGGTTGTTCACTTTTTTTTTTAACAATAAGCAGACAAGATGTCCTGTGTAGAATCCGGTGACCAGGGTTATTGAAAAATTAGAGGTTTATTTTTGAAAAAAATCTCTATTTATTAACTTAAAACTTTGATGAAATACAATGAAACATTTGATAAATATATTTATGGCCTGATAAGATCTAAAAAAAACTAAAAAAACTCAAAATTCTTCACGCAGTGAAGTTTGTCCCATCGAGCAAATTAAAGAAAAACAAAACTAATACATACAATAAAATCTTCTCATTAAATGAAATTTATTGATACTAAATATTAATTATTTTGATAGCTGAAATAATCATCATTAATGATTTTTTATGATAAAATCTAGCAAATCTCTCTCTTCTCTCGCAAAAAAATTAAAAATTAAAAAATAAAATTTTATAGAAAAATTTAATTCCCCGTAGCTAGATAGACTAACCACCTATTAACTAAAAAATACAAGAGGCTAAAATAAACTTTTTAAATAAAATTCAAAACTCTATCTATTTTATCTGTTATTTTTATTTTGGTTCTTTGTATTTCAATCTAATCCTCTCCTCGCAAAAGAAGCAACTCAATGCTAATTTGAACTCAAAATAACTCTTCCAGAATTCAATTTTTTTAAAAGATACCTTTTTCGTGATTCTTAAGAAAATACATGATGACAGTTATATAATGCACTATAATGCTGCTACTGTGATTTTGTCTGGCCATTTAGTTTTTTTATTTTTGTACTTGCAATGGTTCAAAATCTAAGACACCTTCTATAAGATGGCCTGAAATTCATGGTTTAAAATGCTCATGTTAATCTGAATGGAGAGGAAACCCCCTCACTCAAAACGACAACTATTCTCGTGTTTCTTGATGCAATCCGAGCTGCTGGAATCTGATAATATAGCGTTTTTGCCTCAGAAGTGTGGTTATAATTTTTTTAAAATTGTTTTTTATTTAGAAAATTATTAAAATAATATTTTTATTTTTTAAAATTATTTTTAATATTAGTTCATCAAAATAATTTAAAAACACAAAAAAATATTAATTTAAAGTAAAAATAAAAAAATAAAAATGTTTTTATTTTTTAAAAGTATTTTATAAAATTTTAATTTTTTTTAATAAGACGAAACAAGGCTAGTGGACACCATGCTGTAGCTGCCAGGCTTGAGCAGTCGAGCCTGTTTCTCTTAACGGGCTGTTAGCCCTGCTAATGTTCAGCCTCCAAGTATTTGGGCTCATATGAAGTAGATTACTCGTTGTTGAATGGGCTCTTGTAAAGTGAACAACTTCATATTTTAAAGGGCAACGCCTTGCTCGTCGTTTGCACATCTTCATCCAAGATAAATTCAAGCTTGGTTAATTTATCTTCAAAAATCAATCCATTGCAGTAGACCACACAAATAAATTGTAGATGGCACGAGACAACGTCTGCGTTGGGGTGAGCAAGACACATTAAATTTGAAGATTTTTATACCTAGAATATGGGTGGATGAAGGTGCGGTCTATAGTTGAAAGTATCCATAACGTTTAGTTTTGTTTTTTTAATCAACCATGATGAAAGATAAAATGTGATATTTTCTGTAAAATCAATTACCTCATCCTCACATTCCTAGAGCAAGCATGTTCGAGATTACTATTGAATTTTAAAATATTTTTTATTTAAAAAAATCGTATTTTTTTTTTAAAAAAAAACACAATTGAACTACAAAACAAACTCAATCTAAGTGATTCGTAAGAGAAAACATTGGATCTCCATGGACAAATGATCACCCTCTAGCCCTTCGAGACCAAAATCTGGATCCTGTGCCAGAGAAATTACCCTTTCAACTGTTCGACGCGTGGGCATGGGACCAGTGCATTTTTAAGCATGTTGGATTGCTGGTTTGGAGGTAGCTGGTGCATACATTTTCCATAATTCAAAGGTTTGTTTAAGATCAATGTGAATGTCGGAACCGACACTTTGCCAGCTGTGAACACTGTTGTCTGGTGGTATTATATATAGAGACCACCGAGGCTGGATGAATTTGCCAGGTGGGTGACTTGGACATTCCAACAATTATATTCCCCGTCCTGGGTGTATGGCATGCTTCTCATTATTCAAATCAGACTAGTTCAGGACAAAGACAAGGAAGGCGTTAAAATTCAACACATGAAAGGAACGAGCGTATACTTACAAGGCGACTTATGGCACCTGGTAAAATCAAAATTTAAGCCTGAGAAAATCTCTGATACGTCAAGAAATGATGCCGCCGCGGGATAGCTGCAGCCCAATTCACACCTGATCTCTCTCTCTCTCTCTGTTTTTTTTTTCATGAAGAATTTGTGGCCCCTCTAGCTTGCGTTGATCCTGTCAGGTGGAAGAGCATTTTGCGTCTTGTTATGGAGAAATGAGGTGATCCTGAAAGCGGAGACCGATCAAGAATTTGACTCGTGACTCTGCTTTCACCGGTGGTATTTTGGTCCAAGTATACTGCCGTGAATAATGGTGGTCGTGGTAGTAATAATGCCGAACACCGGGCATGAGTCTAATTGGATACACCTCGTCCGTTTAGATAGATCTTGTCAGTTTTCTCTCTTAGAAATATAGATCCTGGGCAAACCCACAGGAAAAAAAAAAAAAATCCTATTAGGTCTCCACTATTTTTCTACTTCCCACGCAACCTTCAAGCATATGGATTGTCTACCTGGATTTTGGAAGATGTTCGAAGTGAACATCTTAGTGACAAATCTTCTAATTTCTCTGCCATGTACGAATTTATTACAATAAGATTTTTAAGATATTTTTAACTTAAAATGAAATGTATTTAAATGTTCTAATATGTAAATAAAAAATATTATTTTAATATATTTTTAATTAAAAATAATTTAAATAATGTACACCACCACGAAGAGGGGTTAATTAATAGTGGGATTAGAGGATTCCCACCATTATTAAAACTAAATAATTGATGGATAAGAAGGTCAAGTTCTGACTCCCAATGATTATCGCGGTAAGGGAGGAAGTGGCGGTGGCTTATCTTGCGCCGTGATTTAATAAACAAACAAGCTCCCGTTTTTTGAAAATTAAAAAAAGAAACGGGGAGGGGAGAGAGAAAGAACTAGACAGTATTCGGCAGAAAAGACGCGGAGTTGACAAATATCACCCTCGTGATGATTGTATGCTGTTTTTAAAGCATGAATAAAAATAATTATTTTTAAAAATATTTTTTATTTTAAAATATACTAAAATAATATTTTATTATTATTTTTATATGGTAATAATTGTTTGATTTTTTATAGTGTATCCCTTCATATTCGAACATATAACGAGGAGATTGAAAGTAAATCCATTAATTACAATGTTATAATATTAAAATACATGGAAATTGAACTATCTTCCTCGAATCTAGAATTAAAATCATCATCACGGGATAATTTTTCAATTTCAAATATTTTAAATTTTAACTATAATTTTTCTTTTAGTCCATGTTTAATATCATGTTTCATAATATTTTTATTTAAAAATATATTAAAATAATTTTTATTATTTTTAACCTTAGCCTATTAAAATTGTAAAAAAAAACTAAAAAACTATTAATTCAATATTTTTTTCCAAGCAAAAACAAACTGACACTTCTTCAAATTCCCAACATTTTTTTATCAGCATAAAATAATTAGAATATAAAAGAATCATTCTTGAAAAACATTAATGTTTCAGGAAAAATACCAACAATTACTTTTTTTAGAAAAAAGATGAGAAAAGAAAAGGCTTATTAAAGTGGGTCCCCGCCCCAAACCAGATCAGAGGGGCAAAGAATCCAAGAAGAGCTTTTATCTGGCAAGCCTTTACCCATCTTAACAATGGCGACTCACTTCCATTCAATATTACAGCAAATCATTGGTAGATAGCACCACCCTACCGACACTATCGTCCATTTAAAGTTTTTGCACAGAGTGAGAGCTACTTCCCCTCTTCCATGTGACGAGAGAGAAAAGAGGGAGCCGTACTTGTAAAGAACACTTAACATCTTAAAAAAGAAAAACCAATCTCTCTCTCTCTCTCTCTGTTTTTCTCTTTTCAGTTCAAGGGAGAGAGATATGGCAGAGAGAAAGAGAGTCAATTGTCAAATTTGATGAATCAAGATTCACAGCACTCTCTCTCTCTCTCTTCTGTGTTCAGTGTATCTACTTCGTCAAAGAGAAACATCTCCTCAAGAATTCTGTAAGCTTTCAGTTTCTTGTAATTTTTTTTTTTTTACTGAACTGGGTACTTGATAAATACTTGAATTTTGTCTTCTCTGTGCTTTATTTGATCCGGCTAACAGTGCTCAAGTTTATCTGTCAACTGTAACGTTTCATTCTGATTAACTACTTAAATCAAGGTATTAGGTTCAAAGTTTTTTACTTTACCACCAAAAGTAGTGTTAATATTCCATATCTGGGAAAAAAACAAAGTGGGTCCTTGAGATCTGGACTTGGTTAATGAAGTGAGTATTTATCTGGCTTTAATCCGACCATTAATTATGGTCACAAGTCAGTGTGTAAAAATTGGGATTTTTTTTTAATGCTAGCTAATCAGTTTGCTATGTGTTTTTACCAGCAATTGCAGTCCATAATAAGTGGAAATTGGATTGAAATTGACTGGATGAGCTTTTGAATTCCGCTAATGTTTATTCTGGCAGTTGATTTTGCTGTCTAAAAATGTTTGTCTTGTAGTGTGTAGATTTCTGGACCTGCATTTATGTTCCCTCCCTCTGATCGAAAAGTAGTACGAAGGAGAGACGCTAATGAATGATCAGCATCTTATGTTGTTTGGTTGTGGAGAGAAGAATCGAGAGAAAAATGAGCGCATAGGATGCTAGAGTTTAATTTTGTTTTTCTACTACTAATTCCTGAAAAATTTAAAGTTGAGCTGATGCCCTTACTCTGCATGACAGAATGAAAGAGATCTTATCAGTTCCTTCATCTTATTGTTCTTTCCCTTTGTTTCTATCATTCCATATCGGCTTCCTTAGAAGATAAAATGACATATTAGGCTCTTAGAAAAGCTATAGAAATTATCCTGAAAAAGAAAATTTGTTAAGTTTGATGCATTTGGTACTTCTAGTGATAGCGAACTTATGGGTTTTAATTCAATGCAGCTGATTTCAGATATGGAAGCTCTTTCACCTGATACTGGAAGTGCAGACTCGGAAATATACCAAACTTTGGGCCTTAAGGAATCCAGAAAAGGAGTTTTCAAAGTTCCTAGGGTTTTAGTGCTTCTTTCTTCACTTCTAGAGAGGTCTGTTCAGAAAAACGAAATTCTAATGGAGAAAGCACAGATCAAAGATGTTGTTACAATATTTCATGGTTTAAGACCACCTCCTGTAAGCATTCAGCAATATGTTGATCGCATCTTCAAGTACTCTGCCTGCAGCCCTTCCTGCTTTGTTGTTGCACACGTGTACGTGGATAGATTTCTCCAGCAAACAGATATTCATTTAACCTCCCGTAATGTTCACCGGCTCCTGATTACAAGTGTAATGATAGCAGCAAAGTTCGTAGATGATGCGTAAGTTCCAATTCCCTAAAGTAGTTTATTTCTGTTAGCTAAAATTCCAACAGTATGTATTGATCCTGCTGAGTTAAAATAAGCACACAAGTATTACTTTGAGTCAGATATTGCACGCATGACATTTCTGCACGAAATTGATTATATATGCTTACATCTCTAAGGTAACCTGGTATTAAATCTGTTAGTTCATCTGGCAAACATCATTATATGTGAATTGGTTTTCTTTTTTGCATATTTTATCGCTCTGGACTCTTAAACCTGATGTTCCTTGTGCTTTTGCAGATTCTTTAACAATGCGTACTATGCCAGAGTTGGAGGGGTAAGCAAAGAAGAATTGAACAGGTTGGAAATGAAGTTTTTGTTTGGTATAGATTTCAGACTTCAAGTAAATGTCAATACATTTGGAAAATATTGTTATCGGTTGGACAAAGAATCTTCTGATGGGCTTCAGATTGAACGGCCAATCCAAGCATGTAGAATCAAAGAAAGTTGGTCAAGCAAAGATGATTCAACCACCTGTGCTTCCACGATTGCAAGATGAAGTAACCAAACCATGCCAATGTATCATTTGTAATCCCACGTTTGTTTGAACACGGTCAAGTCAGAAATTCTGGAAATTGAATTTAGATGTAGGTGCTTTGATTGATTATTGGAGAGATAGCATTCTTGCTTGCTCATCTTCGTATCGTCATTACCTCGTGAAAGTTGTCCCATGTTTTCTACGTTGGGCTTTATGATTTCTTTTTGATGGCCTTTGGTTCCCATTGTTATTGTTCCTCGAGAGTTTGCAGGCACCTTGCCTGCAGAATTTTTAATGTACAGGTTAAGCGATTTAAAGATTGATTGTATGAGTTGCTGTGTTTCAATTAATTACTGCCAGACCTGACGAAAACGTTTCTCCTTTGTGGTTGAATTGGCTCCCGGTATAACTAAATGCAACATTGCATTGGAAGCAATCATCACTGGTGCCATTTCTATGTATGCTTCTTCTTTTGTTTTTTAAGAGAGCAATTTCATGTCCGCATGTTTGGTTTGTAATGTTTCTTTCCTTTGCTTATTTAGAATGCTGGATTTTATTTTACTATATAGGAAAGCTAGAATGAGATGAATAGTTGCTGAATCCTGTGATTTTTTATCTTGATGAGGTTGGATGGTTTGTTAACATTAGGTTTGGGGTTAGCTTTGAGCATAGCAATTTCTTTTTGCCAGCTTTATCAGAAAAATAATTGTGATTCGCAACGTGAAGATCAAAACATCACCTGTATCATGAAGCTCGAGGCCCCCAACTATGCTTGGGGGATTTTTCTTTATTTACCTGGAGCACCAAGCTGCAGACCCTGAAGCAGCAGCATGTCAGCTAGCCTGCCTCGGAAAATGGTGAGCACCGTGTCATCAGCCCACCATCAAGGCTCCCGGAGCAGCCTCTCAACTTTTCAACCGGAGAATGCAAATCAGTTAATGAAAAACACGTAGAAATGTAAACAGAGATGCAATTGCATTAACTGGCATGTGGTCAAGCTCGAGCAAATGACCTTTTTAGATTGGAAATCCAAAAACTAGAAATTATTACAAACTACTGCTGCGTTTTGGGAGCTACTTGGTAAGCCTTTTAATCAGGTTGTGATTTACAGGCCCTGCTGTTTCTAATTTTGATGCTCAACTGTTGCAAAAGGGTTTACGTAGCAAGTTCTCTTGCAGACGCCAATTTCTAAGAATAGACATAACCCAGTAGATTACATCAAAGGCAGGATATTTTTCCTTTTCTAGACACCTCCAGTTTTTATCTTTGCCAAATATTCTGAGCTGTGCTATTTGATTTCCGCCGAAGGGGTTTACATTTTACAGTCAAGATCAATATCCGACTTCTGTTCATGCCACTTTTCGGCACTCTCCAGGCATTGGCCATAGGCTGAAAGTATCAGTTGATATTAAAAACAAAGCTACCAAGCCTAACCATTACCATCACCTGGGAGGCCTCTCCAGGGCTACCCAACCGAACTTCCCTTTTCGAAAATCATGCAAGATGCGAAAAGCTGCTTAATGGCTGTCCCCCATTGAACAAGTGAACTGGAGGCTTTTCAAAAAATCTGCATTAAAAAATCAACAGTCACAAAATCAATTTGGGGTGTTTATGTAATGGAATGTCCAATTTCTTGCCTTGGCAACTGGCAAATCAAAAAATGCGTTGCTTTATTTCAATATTATTTACGATCCAAAGTGCAATTGCTCTGCGGACTTGTTTTCAGTAACTACGCATATAAATGACCAAGTAAAAAAATTCAATAAAAAAACATTAAAAAATCTTAATCTAACCCAAGTTAACTTTAATAATTTACTTTCAAAATAATCAAATAGCAAAAAAAGTAAAAAAACACTTAAAGACAAATAATTTAATACAAAATGATGAAATTTAAAAAGAAAAATCAAGAAAAATTTTTTTAAATCAACTTAAGTTATCTCGACTAACTTACCATACGCTACATGAGATTGAAATAAAAAAATAAACTTCAAAATAAGAGCCTAACCAAAAAAGCCCAAGTTCAATAAAAAAAACATTATGGATGAAAATACAAGCTCACTCGGATTAACTTGACCAACATGCTTTCAAAATAAATGAAACACAAAGAGAAGTAAAAAAATAAAAAAAATTTAAGGTCAAATAATTCAATACAAAATAATAAAATTAAAAAAAATTAAAATTAAAAAAAAAATTAAATCAACTTGAATTAATTTGATTGACCCATCACTGGAGACATGAATCAGTATAAAAAAATAGACTTTCAAAAAAACACCTAGCAGAATAAACCCAAGTTAAATAAAATATAAATATAAATACAAGTAATTTAAAGAGAAAGTGTGAAATTGTTAAATCCCTGACTTTGCAAAATAAGTAGCCCAAGCATTCCGGTCTGCCTTGGATATCATATCTTCTATTCAAAACCAGCCTTTTCCTACTTTCAAGCCACAAGTCCATCTACTCACGTACACAAAGAAGAAAGACAAAATAAAAGGGAAAAAAAAAAAAGAGCCACGAACTATTATACTGTCCCAAAGCAGTTTCTTATCGGAGCATTGAAGGGAGTCTTAAGCATCAAAAGCAACAGAGGGCATTGAATAAAACTATCTCCAGTGATAATAAATTCTACTACCATAAAAGGTGTCGATAATCATACTACTCGAATAACTTCCGACAAGTATAAAATACACAAGTAAATATTGTAGCACGCATCAGAAACCCATAAGCCAAATACATAATTTGAATCACCTTGGATTGGACCCAGCAAACACAGCATATTTGAAGAAAAACATAGAAAAGAAAGAGAAATGACTTTAAACTTTGTTTTGTATTACAGCATTAACTTGTATACGCAGTTAACCTAACCTGTGGATGGCTGGTGGACAAAGGGAATTCTGGCATCTCGAACTTCAATGACAACATCCATAATCTTGAGTTGCCCTCTGAGTTCTTTTTCCGTTCTTGCAATATGACCTGGACACCACTCCCATTTACTTACAACATTCATTTACTTACTACTTGTTACTAATATAAACAATAATTTGTTTTAAAAAAGAAAGAAATGGAAACCTTCGTCGTAAAGAGAGAACCTGAACAGGACGCAGTGCTTCGGTCCAATGGTAAAGATCAGTTTCAAAATCAATCCAATCAGCCTCTCCTCCGACATATACACCATTAAAATTGCAATTTCCACTTCGTTGCCAACTTGGAGTCTTTTTTTCCACCGACAATCTGCAAATTTTGGTATAATTAAAGCAAGCAAGCAAGAAGAAAAGAGGAGAATTTAAGAAATAGTTGCCTGGATGGTAGGAGGCGGAGAAGAGAGAAACTGAAGTTGCAAGTGTTGCCGCAGTTGGAGGAGATGATGATAAAAGTGAAGCAATGGTTTCTTACACCTCACTGCTGGATTGGTAACCACAGTCCCAGACTCCCAGGACCTCTACACCCAAGCCTCCCTTTTGGTGGCTTCCCCCTTGGTTTTTCTTTTCTTTTCTTTTACTGGGATGAAATATTGATTGGGCCTTTTCTTTTCATGACAGGTCCAGGTTCTTAATCTAAAATACGAAACGGGCCGTGATGAGCATGGGGTAGCTGTGCAAGGGCAGCTCGAAGGCCCACAACCTTTCTTCTTCGAGAGAGTAATTAATTTAAGATGACACTAGCATGCGGATGAGATCAATTCTTTTAATATAAAGAAAATATTCAATTTCTAGAATAAAAAAAATAAAATATATAAAGATTAATGCAATATGATTCAGCCTATTAAGTAAATTATATTTTTAAAATTATTTGAATTATTTTAAACAATAGATAATTTTATAAAAAACAAACCATAAAAATTATAAAACCTAATTTAAAACCAAAATTAGCTTGTATGGTCTAAAAAAACCCACAAAAAAAAAACTATTAAAATGGGAATGCTTTATTGAAAAAGGGAACAATAAATTCTACTTCGGATTTAATTAGGGAGTTATAATCTAATATTGTCTTGATTAAATTCCTTTAATCATATCACTTCCTTGACAAATGGTGTATACGTGATAAGTAAATCAATCACGACCATCCATCTCTCCTGCACAAACACACAATGGTGATCCATCAGACCATCCTACAAACTAAAATTTCCTGGTCTTTTTTGTAACAGTGGTGGAAAATCCGTACAAATAAGTAGCCGTTTCGATTCCCAGCAGTTCAGTAAGAAAATGACTCCTCCATCTCAATTCTCAACAGTAAGGAGTGAAAAACGATTCCTTTCAAGGAAAATAATTGCAAATGCATGCTCCCATGAACACATATCGGGTAATCCATAAGCATCCTGCTTCACTACTGAATTAGTCCGACAAATGATGTACGTGTTGCAGCATGATTGGGCACCCAAACCATCGATTGCTTCAAGATGGATGAATGAATGAAGAAAAATATAGAACAAAAGTGGCATTTGCATAAACAGGGGACTTCACCAACTGCTTGTGCAAAGAAGACTGTAGCTGGATACCCCCATATTAGCTCGACAACTTGAAGATTTCTGAACGCTCTGCCTTCCATCTTAATGGTTAGTTGAAATATCAAACCCGGGCCAAATCAATTTACAGTTGCCTCAAGTTAGTTTGGTAGGCTTGCTAAGCGCTTTCTCAAAGTAATGGCGTATATCAGGCATAATACGCTGGATCAAATGAGATGACCTGCGTATTTTCAAGATCAAACTTGCAATCTTCAAAACCCAATTTAAATGAGAATTATTGGCTCGTAACCTTTTGAAAATGATGGCATTATTATCAAGGGAAAACTGAAATGTATGCTCAAAAGATACTTTCAAATATCAAAATATGCATTTTAAAGCAGTGTAAACAGAAAACAGAGCCTTTGTTCTTGGATATGCTTTAACAATAGTTGTTGCCATTTGCTTGCCCAGCCAATAAAAACAACCACAACTTCTGGCTCAGACTTTGACACCATGCAAAGTCCCAATTCCCAAATGATAGAATCTTCTAATGAATTTTATGGAGTAGATAAATGCATTGAGAAGACTACATACCATGGCTTGGTACATAATTTGTCAAATTGCTCCAATATGAATAGAATGCATGATTCCCTTAATGACATAGCATTGAAGCCCTCGGACAACTCGTACATGAGAGAGACATTATCCACAGAAATATCCTTGTGTGATGACAATAAGAATTCGTCAGACCACTTTTCATGTGATAATAATTTTTATTCAAAGCAAACATTGACATAATTTATCAGTTAACCTGTGCAATGTTACATTCACACAGACGCTTGAGACCATCCAAAAGATATTGGTCAGCAGCTCTAAGGAGATCCTGAGCAAGATCTATATTGATTTCCACTGATCCTGTATATATGAACCTAAAAGTGTGCACAACCAAGCTATCAGAATTCCAACAAGCGCTTCCTTCAAAATTTAAAAAGGGAAGTGCAGGACTCACCTCATCATTAATTCAAAAACATCCCATCTAATATTCGGAATCTCCACGTCTTTTGCATTCCTTTCCTGCAATTGTTGTGTCCTTATATAAGTAAATCAAACATCCATTACCATCTTCTCCGACAAAATTCTTTACAGCCGGCTCATAATAACTTATTGCAAAAGTGGAAAACATTGCATAGGTCAGTTTAATCAGCCTAACGACTGTCCCTAACAAATTGAGCAGCTCCTCAATAATAATGAATGCTTGTGTAAGGAAACCAGATGAATTATGAACTCTCAGAGATAATATTGACCGTTGAATTACTGTGAATAGTGCATGCCTAGGTGGACAAGGCGAAATGATTGAGGAACAAAGCTATTGTGTAATTAAAAGCCAAAAGAAAGTTCTTAAATAAGCTGATAAAATTCTTAAATAAGCTGATACTCACCCTGTAGCCCCCATCAAACATCGCACGGAAAGCATCCGAAGAAGCAAGGAGACAAATTCGGTGAGCATAGAACCGCTTTCCTAACAACAGCAAAATTACATTCATTAATGCTAGCAGAAATCCATAAACATACTACCATGATTTATCATGACATAAAAGGACATCTTATCACACATAAACAGACTGCACATGAAAAAAATTTCATACCTTCGACTAAGAATGTAACATCAGACAATGTAGGATTGTTGACGTATTGCTCACCCAAATAAACCTAAGCAAAAATAACAAGTAAAAAATTATTTTTCTGTTGTTGTTTATTACCTCAAAATATGGGCTTAACAATGTACTAAAAGAGCAGAGCTAATAACTCTTAAACTAAATGATAAAAAATCAACAATTGCTCACAAAGATTAAAAAAATGTTTCTGAAATCATTGGATCAAAAGAGTAACATAAAGTGGAAGAAGACATCTCAAGGAGAAGAGAATAGGAAATGACATTGCAAGTCAAAACAACAATCTATAAAATGAAAAATAATGAAAGGTCGACCACAATCTGTTGTTGGAAATGAACATTCTGCTGGTTAAACATTTCAAACATGGCAGACCATGAGTCACATCCTAAAGTAAACACTGAACAAGCAACAATCACAGAGTTCATTTTCTAGACACTAACGTTTGATTAAAAATAATTGTCCAATTCAAAGTTCAAACACATCCGTGCCCTGTATGGCCTTATTCCTTAAAAAAAAATTAGGGAAGGACAAAAAACTAAGATTATACATGTGGAAAGGAATCAGCATGAAAAGGAGTTCCACCTGCGGGGTTGGAGATAGAGGAGCTGAATCCACAAGAGATACTGAGCTGGCTTGGGTAGCCAGCCTGTATAATGCTACCGAGCCATCACATTGCAGCTTCACGCTTCCAGACTCCAAAAGCCCCAACAACAAGTCTAAACCTGTATGACACATATTTAGAAACAAACCATTAAGAAACTCAGCACTGTATGAATATAACCATTACACATAGAAAGACCCCAATTTTTGGCAGATCAAGAAGTTTTACCATTTTTTTCAAGAAAAACTACTTTTCTGTCATCAGGAGCACAAAGATGAGCAAGAGCCAGAGCAACTCGTCTCTGAATATTCCTTTCAGCAACCCGCATCAAATATAAGAGATGGTTCAATACCTGTTCAGAAAACCATAATAATCAGTATACTGTTGATAACAAATTGCATTCAGAGCTTGTTTCTGAGTTGACATATCTGGCGAGATAGACAAATTTAAAATTCAAGACCCAAAATATCAATTATATGCATGAAAACTTACCCGTCCATGAATCTTCTCCTCTAGCCTTCGTATTGTTTTCGCAACACAATCCTTTGTTTGCTGAAAAGTATCACATTATAACAATGAGCTGGACAGGAATACTGCAATGAAATGCACAAGACTGGGAAGATAGTGATAATCTACCAACTCCATCAGTGTGAGAAGTTATTCCATCTGAGCACAAAAAAAAATTAACCTAAGCAGATCAGATGTAACTCTATGAAACATACTTGGACAATGAATTCTCCATATTGGAGTTTCTGAAAACCCCCAACCTTGATAAGATCTGCAACATTATCCTACAGAAGAATCCAAGTAATTTTCAGTAGATTCCAGCGTTGGTTGAGGAAGTAGGGACTAACAGTGCTGAGGAATATTCTTTAAACCATGAAGAAACAAACTTATCATACCTCATTATCCACAAGACCATATAGGGTAAAAGCAGCATTGTGTTGAAGAGGTCCACTTTTGGAATCAAGAAGCCTAAGTAATGGAACGATACCACCATTATGTGCAATTCCAGCTTGGTTGTGTGTTTCCTGAGATTAAGGGGGGAAGGTAATAGAGAAGATGTTTTTAGAAGCCCCAAAAGGCAAATAACCTTGCAAACCATAGTGCATAGTGTACAATACTTAACCATATACAACTAGTTATCATTCCATGTAGGCAAAAGTTTGTCTTATAGTTCATTAGGGTGCTAAGACTTTTACTTCCAGACTTCCTGCTTTCACCTAGGGACTACAGAGATGCATTGAAGATCAGATTATAAAACAAAATGCCTATTTGTGCAGAGTAGTTTGCACAAAGCCAAGATAGATTTAAGCAATCAAAAAGAATAGAATTGTCAAAAAAGTCCAGATATCCCTTTCTTCAGAAATTAAAAGCAGAACAAATGAGTGCATTCACCAGTTTGATGCTCAGAGCTGTTTTTTTCTGCAGTCAATACAAACACACATGCAGACATGCACACACACCATGCTCAACAGACACCAAGATATACATGTATGCATGCTTTAAATAAAGCATAGCTTCACAATAGAATCAAAGAAATAATAACCTGAGCCAACCTCCCAAGTGCAAAGGCTGCCATTTCTTTGAGCTGCATATCTGAGGACTCAAGCATATCAATTAATGGCTTGACAGCTCCTCTCTGAGCAATGTGCACCTGCACAAACCTTTTTCTAGTTAATGCTTAAAAGGAATATGTATCAAACACACAAATACACACACAAGAGCAAAAGCTTTTGGCCTTAAAATATGAATGGTATTCAGCCTACCTTGCAATCTGAATCAGCTGCTGCAAATTGACCCAATAACAAAGCTGCTTCTCTTTGGCTTTCTGAACAAGGAGAGCTGTACAATATATAAATTGAGAAGGATATCCATGAGCATCTTGCAGAAGACAATTGTAATGTGAAAAGGGTGACTGATCAAGAACAGGCAACAATGTGAAAGCCAGCAATACCTTAGCAATCCAATTACAGGTTGTAAAGCTCCAGCAAGAAGAAC